GGATGGAGCTGGAGGGTATTACGCTCAGTGAAATAAGCCAGGTGGAGAAAGACAAGTACCAAATGATTTCACTCATCTCTGGAGTATAAAAACAAAGAAAAGCCGAAGGAACAAAACAGCAGCAGAATCACAGAACGCAAGAATGGACTAACAGTTACCAAAGGGAAAGGGACTGGGGAGGATGGGTGGGAAGGGAGGGATAAGGGCGGGGAAAAAGAAAGGGGGCATTACGATTAACATGTATATTGTGGGGGGTCACGGGGAGGGCTGCACAACACAGAGACGACAAGTAGTGACTCTACAGCATCTTACTATGCTGACGGACCGTGACTGTAATGGGGTTTGTGGGGGTGACTTGGTGAAGGGGGAAGCCTAGTGAACATAATGTTCTTCATGTAATTGTAGATTAATGATAACAAACAAACAAACAAAAAGATTTGAACAGTCATCTCATCAGAGAAGACTCACAGATGGCAAATAAGCATATGAAAAGATAAATAACAATGATGCCATCAACTACCTATTATAATGGCTAACTAACAATAGTACTGACTACAAAAAAATACTAACAACAGTAAATGTGGAACAACAGGGAGTCTCATTCACTGCTGGTGGCACAGCCACTTAGGAATACAGTTTGGCAGATTCTTACAAAATTAAATATACTTTTACCATATAATCCAGCAATCACCATACTTAGTATTATCCCAAATAACTTGGAACCTTATGTCCACATAAAAAACTGCACATGAATATTTATAGCAGCTTTATTTATAATTGCCAAATATTGGAACCAGTGTCTTTCAAAGGTGACTGGATGAACAAACAGTTGTATATCCATGCAGTAGAATACTATTCAGTGTGGGAAAAAAAGAGCTATCAAGTCACACACACACACACACACACACACACACACACACACACACACACACACACACAGAGAGAGAGAGAGAGCAAACTTAAATGCATATTGCGAAGTAAAAGTAACCAGTGTAAAAGACTACATACTGTGTGATTCCAACTATATGACATTTTGGAAAAGGCAAAACTGTAGAGATGGTAAGAAGATCAGTGGCTGCCAGAGGCTGGGGGGAAGGAGGATAAATAGGTGGAGCACAGAGGATTTTTAGGGCAGTGAAACTATTCTGGGTAAAACTGTAAAAGGTGAACACATAGAATTGCACATTTGTTAAAACCCATAGAACTGAACAACACAAAGATTGAACCCTACTATAAACCGTGGACTCCAGTCAATAATAGTCTATCAGTATCAGTTCATGAATTGTAACAGACGCACCACAGCAATTCAAGATGTTAATAATTGGGGAAACTGTGGGCAGAGGGAAAGAGGGAACTCTCTGTACTTTTTGTTTAATTTTTCTGTAAGCTTAAAAATTCTCTAAAAAATAAAGCCTATTAATTAAAAAAATAATAATACCATGTTGCCTACTTAAAAACTGCTCAGAGGAAAAACTTAATATTTTTTCTTGTTTTCTTTTAAACCACAATAAAAATAAATAAAGAAGTTGACTGGGGTGGGGGTTTTAATTGCATCCAGATAGCGATGCACAGATGTACGATGAACCATGGGCATACGGTTTCCCCCGAAGACTCTCCTTCCATGTCAGAACCTTTGTGGATTTCAGATCTCTTACACTACTTTTAAGATCCTAAGGACTCAGAAATGTGTACATGGAGAATAATGGACCTAATCCAAGCTGCTTTCCCCAGTTTAGGCAGACTGACTCTTCTCTTAAACTCTCCTGTCTGAGGGGCAGCAGAAGTGAGCCTCTCATTTCTGTTTTATAGTGATTGTACCTCACTTACTTAGCTGATGCTGTTTCTGGTCAGGGACAGGGGGGAAAGATCAGCGACCCTAACTAGCTCTCAAACACTTTCTTGGAATACAGGCAAAGAATCACATTCACTTTTGGGTAAGAACACCATGTGGTATGATTAGATATACATACATAAATCATGTAACTTCACATAATATATTAATCATTCCCTCTTCTAAGACATTTAATCCAATGACTGAACTATCATGAGATTAGTGTTAGAAAGCTCCCTTTTGGATTTATAGTCTAATTAAGATTTCCTTAACTGCCTTTTCATTAGTTAACAATGTTTTACAAAAGCAAATAACAATATATTTTAAAATATGGAGAGTTAACACTGGAAAACCTATATATCGACTACCATTCAGTCTTATTGCAACATTCTGCTACAAAAGGCTTCAGGTCTTTATTTCTACTTCAAAAATCAAACACAAAAATAAAAACAAACAGAAAACTAATCAATATACAGTGACGCCACCTGCCAGCCCTTCCTTCTTCTCTTGTGGTGATAACTATTCTGAATTTGGTATTTCTTATCACGTTCCGATTGTTATACATCTGCTGCTTATTAATATATCTTTAAATAACATATATAATTACTTTACCCATTTAAAAACTTTATATGAATAGCCTCTTACTGTATAATATGCTATTTTGTATCTTGCTTGCTTTGTGAACGTCTGTGATTTTGAGGAAATAGTGTTTCTGTTGTTCCCTCCTGAGACGCAGCTGGTACCTGAACCCAGGTCAGCTTCAGGACACCTTTAAATCCTCCTGGCTCCTCACCTTGCTGCCTGGGCGTCCATTCTTCATCAGAATCCTCAGTGTCATCCACCTGGGGCTTGGTGGCCTGCCTGCGACAACGCGTGAGAGCTGGTCGAGGAGATATGAGACCTGGAAAGAAGCAAAATCTTTGTCTTAAAAGGGAAGAGCTGGAAGAATGAACAAAGCACAGCAAGAAATGAAAGCACTATAAAGTCATAGCGACTCAGTGGGATGTGCTGGGAGGGTCTAGAGTAAGGCAGGAGGTGAGCTCCGCATCACCGGTACTGGCCGCACACTGATACAGAGGGCATTTCCCTCTGGGTTTGTCTCCACACAGAAGGGAACTGGGCAGATGGAGCCACCTGAGAGAGAGCCGGGCTCATGCAGGGGTTGCAGACTTGCTTCCCAGGCTACTCTGCACTCCACATGTCGTGTTACCTGTAGCGACCAGTGCTTCATAGTTCCTTTTCACATTCCTGTATCGGGTTTTCTCCCAGTCTCCCATCTCTGTCCATTCTTTCTTGGAGAAGTATCTGGAAATGTCTTTGAAAGCATCTCTGGCCTAGAGAAAATAAAAGGTTCTATCAGTGATTTACTAATACAAGTTAGAACTGTGAGCTGGGCCTTCTGCTCCGTCTTCATGTAGGGTGTATGTAGCCTGAGGCCGCTGGGTGGTCTCTGAAATAAGGGTGAAGACTCTGTCTCCTGACTGGGTCCTGAATTACTGTGCAAACACCAAGCGAGAATTTTCCCATCCCTCCCCTGATGTGGAGCAGTTGCTGATGCTAGGGTGCTGTTTTCTCCCCATGTCTCAGACATCCTGCATGCACTCACAGAGAGGGTCGCCTACTGGTGCAGGCTCCTTGTCACCGAGCCCCTCTTCCCTTCCTTCTTACAGACCCCATCTGGAGCCTGGTTTCACCTCCCACACCTCTCACCGTGGCCTTCCAGCTTGTTGCCTTTGAGTGTCCCTCATTGTTCTCCTCCAGGGACCTGTCAGAGCTCATGGTGCTGGGACGGCCAGACAGGTCCTGCTGGGACTTTGATGCCGCAAGTGTCCCTAAATCTTCCAGCCCCAAAACCAAGACACCTGTGAAGGGAGAAGGTACTGAGAGGGGGTGACAGCCCAGACCACTGCCCTGATGCAGGTCTGTCTTCCTGTCCAGGGCAGGAAGATGTGGGGAACCAGTGGGGAAAGATGGGGGGGGCATTGGTGGGATGGGAGCATCTCCAGTGGCCACAACCAGCCTAACATGAGCTGAATTTTGTTTCTTTAGTTCCCTGCAGCTCAGGCCCTCTGAGGAAAGGCGGCAAAGGTGCCTCGAGGGCCCTGGCTGCGGGTGTTTGAGGGCAGTCCTCAGAGGGCATGGCTGGAGGAGTTGCAGGGAGATGCGGAGCACTGGATGCCAGGACTGGGGTCAGGCTGACAATCATGGAACTGATACAGCGAGAGGAAAGGAATATTTCTCAAAGAAGAGATCTGGGGCTCTCCACCTGTGGATTCTGGAGAAATCTGGGTGTAAAGCTGCCTTGATCTCTAAGGAATGCAGATCTTGGGCTCAGGAAACTGAGGCTGCTGAGTGAGGGGATTTGGGGTCTCATGCTGAGGAGAATTGGGATCCCGTAGGCTGATGGCATTTGCAGTCTCTCAGGACAAGGTTTGGAGTCTTAGGCTGAAGGGATTTGGAATGCTCAGGCTGAGAGGATTTTAAATCTTTGAGGCTGAGGAAATTTGAGGTCTGTCAGGCTAAGGAAATTTGGAGTCTCTCATTAAAGGGGCTTAGGACCTCTGACGTTGAGGTTAGTTTGGATTTTTGAAGCTGAACGGGAATTAATAGTTCTCAGGCTTGGGGTAGTCAAGGTCTCTGAGACTGAGGAAATTTGTTCTCTCTGTAGTTGCTATAGTTAGGGTTACTTGGGCGAAGAGTTTGGGGAGTGCCTCAGGCTGAGGGTTGCTGGGGTTACTGAGGGTATGGGGAGGGGTCTAAGCCTTAGAGGATTTAGTATTTCTGTGGGTGAAGGGCTCTGAGTTCTCTGAAGATGAGGTGGTTTGGGTGAGGTGCTCCTCACGCTGAGGAGATGGGAGATCCCTCCATGTTAGCGGATTTAGGATCCCTCAAGGTGGTGGGATTTGGTGTCCTGTGAGGCTGAGGGGATCTGGACCCTCTCAGGGTGGGTGAGGGGATCGGGCTGTCTCAGGCTGGAGGCTCTCTTTAAGATCTAGGGTGGAGAGTTCAGAAAGGTTTTCACATGGCCCCTTAATAAAGGCAAAGGCTCCCAATTTCCTCTTGGTTTCCCCGACATTGCTACTATGCGGCCTACCCTGGACGGGAACTCTCTGTGACGTCCGTGCAATTCCCGCTCTCTGGAAGGTGGGATGTCAGAGAAGGCGAGGTACGGGTTTGCTGTGCCTTTTCAGGCACAACCCGCCAATCAGGGCTGTGATCAGAGCGGTCCCGCCAATGGGAGGCCAGGAGGGACTGAACGGGAGGATTGTATGGCAAGCCGTGCCTGTCAGTCACAAGCAGAACCCAGTCCTGGACTCAGGTGGGCAGAGCAGGCTGGCCTTTGCCCCTGCTGCGGGATTGGCTACTTTGGCTAATGCGCGTGTCTTTCAGGAAGTGTCCTGTGCGCAGGCGCAGTCTGGCAGTTTTCGTGACTGGCATCCGGTGCTGGGGAGGGACCCATGTGGCTGCAGTTGCTCAAAGAAGCAAAAAAACTTAGGTCCACAGAAAAACCTGCATAGAGATGTTTATAACATTTTAATCATAATTGCCAAAAATCAGAAGCAACCAAGATATCCTTCAGCCAGGTAATGGCTAAAAAAATGTGGTACTTCCATACTACATGGAATGTTATTCAGTGATAAGAAATAAGCTATCAAGCTGGGAAAATACATAAAAGAAACTGCTAAGTGAGAGAAACCAACCTGAAAAGTTTAACTACTGATGGATTCAAACTATATGACTTCTGGAAAAAGCAACCATAGCAGAATAAAAAAGATCAGTGGTTGCCAGGAATTGTTGGAAGGGTAAGAGATTGATAAGTGGAGCACAGAGGACTTTTAGGGCAGTATTTCTTTCAAACACACATAGCTACACAACATAGTGTACCCCAATGTAATTATGGATTTTAATAATAATTCATCATTATTGGATCATAAATAGTAAAACTATACTACAAATGAAATAAAGCAAAGCAAGAGTAATGATAAATACTCCACACATAGAATATTTCTCCTCATGTGTTGCTTAAAATATTCATTATGACTGAAAGCAAAAATTACAGCATTGACTAATGTGGTTTTAATTGCATGTAGATATAATAAATAAGACTAAACCATAAAAGTGGTGGAGGGGACACAAAGAGACCTATGTTGTCCACATTCCATTAAAGTGATTAAATATTGATTCTAAGAAGATTAAAATTTATATATATTGCCACCCCAGAAACTGCTAAATATATCTTGCACAGAAGGATATGGTAAGAAAGAATGTAAACTGAAATGTAACACTAGGAAGTGTTGACATAACTGAAAAGACAGGAAAGGGGAAAGAGAAGAGGGACATTCAGGAATAATAAAATGATCAAACTAAATCCAAACATATCAATTAATACCTGAAATATAAAAGGTCAAAATCACAATTAAAATACCAATTTTTCAAGACATAAAAACTAGTTTTTATCCAGACCTTACATCACAAATATTGACATAAGTAATTAATAAATAAAAGGAAGACAAAATGTATCCTGAAAATGATAACCATGTGAAGGCTTCCATGGTTATACTAATAGCAAACAAGTGAGACTTCAGAGCTATGAAAATTGGGGATAAAAAAGCAACATTACATAATGGCAACAGACTCAACTCATCAAGAAGACATAATCCCAAACATATATGCACTTAACAGCAGAGCTTCAAAATACATTATAAAATGGAATGAACTGAAAGCAGAAACATATATTACAATTACATTGGAGTCTTAAACACTGGTCTCAGCAAAATCATTAAGGATATAACATACAAATACACAAAGAACTTCAAAACTCAATTATACAAACAAGCAAAAGATTAACAGACAGCCCACAAATATATTTAGAAGACAAGTAAGTGCTTTAGAACATATGCATTTTTAGCCTTTAGGGAATTGCAAATTAAAACTACGATAGATACCACTATACATTTATAAGAATGGATAAGAAACATTGACATCACTGTGTTGGTGAATACGTGGAGCAATTAGAACTCTTACAGAATAGGGATGGGAATTCAGAATGTTATAGCCCCTCTAGAAATAAGTTTGACATCTTACAAAATCTTCTGCATAAATGTACCTAATGACCCAGGAGTTCTACCCCTAGATGTTTGCTCTAATGAAATGAAATTCCTGAAAACAGGAAGCAATGCAAATGCCCCTCAACAGGTCAACCTAATCAAACTGTGGTACATCCATAAAATGTTATAATACACATCAATAAAAAAATAAACTTCTGGTACCGGCAACAACTTGGATGAGCCTCAAAAGCATCATACTGAGTAAAAAAAAAAAGCCAGTCTCTAAAGGGTACATACTGTGTGGCTCAATTTATGTGACATCCTCAAAAAGTGAAATAGTAACAGAGCTGTGGTTGCCAAGGCTTGGGTGTGAAGGGAGGAATGACCACAAAGAAACAGCAAGCAGTTTTTTTTCTGTATGATGGAACTCCTCTGTATCCTGATTGACATAGTAATTACACAAATCTGTATGTTTTTAAATTTGTGAACTTGTACACCAAAAGAAGAGAAATCCATTTTGTTGAGTGTTAGTTCAAAAATTTTAATTTTAATTTTCATTAATGTAAAAAAGTTTACATTTAATTTTTAAAATTATATTATATACCTAAGAAAATGGAGATATTTAAGAACTCTTACCTCAAATCATAAAGCTATACAAAGAGATATTTTAAATGGCTTAAAAATAGGGAATAGATGTGTTCAGAATGTAAAGATACCAGTTCTAATAGGACCTACTCAAATAAGTCTCAATCCAACTCCAACACTTAAAACCTCAGAGCAAGAATTTTTTAAATTAAGGTATCATTGATATTATGAAGGTTTGACATGAGCAACATTGTGGTTTCAACATTTACCCATATTATCAAGCCCCCTGCCAAACCCATTGCAGTCACTGTCCATCAGTGTAGTAAGTAAAATGTTACAGAGTCACTACTTGTCTTCTCTGTGCTGTACTGCCTTCCCTGTGACTCCCAAATATTATGTGTGCTGATCATAACGCTCCTTAATCCCCTTCTCCCTCCCTCCTCACCCCCTTCTTTTTGGTAACCACTAGTCCCTTCTCAATGTCTATGAGTATATGGGAAGCATGTGTTACCATGAGGGGGAAATTCCACTTGGCCAATAATTTGTGGATTTGGCTGGAATATCTCCTGTTCTGACATTTTCCATGTGGTGCATTTGTGAATGCCCATCTTCTGCCCGTCAGGCTTGTATGATTAGGTACAGAGCTTGAAGGAAGACAGACTTCCCTCACAAGACTTTACGTTCCAGTAGGAACATGGACCCAAAGACTCATAGTTAATTGCACTAAGGGAAATTAATTTCTCTCACCAGAAAGGGTCTAAAACATATATATTTGTCTTCCTTGGGCCAGCGACAAATACCTCTCCTTGTCAGATGGGCAGGCAGAGGAAGAGAAGAGTGGGTCCTCCTTGCCGAGGCCTCTCTTTGGTGCCACTGAGGAACCAATGTTGGGATGACATTGGCCTTTCTAATGGCTTCTCTCGAGGCAGGAGGGTGTGTCTCTAATCATAACTGTGTGGAGACCATGCTTAGTGTTTCTCTGAGGAAATAAGAGTTGCTCCTGGAAGTCTGGGGACAGAGAATGACTCAGTGGGTCGTGGCTTTCCTTGGCCCATGTGCGCAGAGCCAGAGTTGCTGAGATAAGAGTGGACAGTGGAACAGCCTATTTTTGTTTCTGAGTCATCAGGCAAGTTTTGTCCCTAACCT